AAGAAAACTACTGTTGCAATGAAAAAAAGAGAAACTCACTTGGACGGTTTGCATACAGATCCAGATAAAAGCTTCCAAAAGTCTCTGTCCACATTAATCAGTCCTCCCTGGATGACGGAGGCCAGCAGGTCCAGGCTGAGGGACTCTGTCGGGGACGAGCTGACCCCACGCACTGCCAGGCCCCATACCTTAACCCAGAGCCTTCCCAGCTCCGTCCTGTAGACCTGGGCTCTCTCTGGGTAGCGAGCCTGGCACCGGGCCACCTCCCTCAGACAGCGCAGCACATACACACCCCTCTCTCCCCTCCGCTGCTCTGCCAGGAGCTGGTGCAACACTGACAGCAGTGAGACCAGCTCCCGTCCAGGCACCATGTATGGGTACTTAGAGGTGAGCGCTGTGGTGATTTGCAGCCTGAGAGAGGAAATAAAAGACGGGAATGTCTTTATGTGACGCTGATAGCACAGCAGTCCTCCGTGTCTCAAGGCAGAGTTGATGCCCCATAAAATAAAAAGCAATAACACTGATTTAAAAGTCACTCTACCCAGTAATCATCTTTATTTAAATTGAAAATGTGTTTATATTATTTGTGCTGTGATTATCATACCACGGTATGACATCAAAGTCACTGTGCTGAGGCTGCAGATGCTCACGGAGGACCTCCCAGCCCATTTCGATACGCCGGCGCTTGCTGGCAGCTCCGTGGGTGGGACTGCCCATCTGTGTGGCTCTGATGGAGGCCTGGGTGACATCCACGATGTGGGTGTCACTGTCATCATTAAACAGCTACAGCAAAGAAACGTAAGAGCGTTTAAAGGATTAAATGTGTCCAGACACCCTCCTCTAATGAGCTTCCTCACCGCACTTTTGAGCGAAGCTGAACCTTGATGCGCTTGGTGCATACATGACGTTCGAGCTTTCTTACCTGGTGACAGATGTCAGCCGTAAGCTCAATGAGATTGTCTTTGACGGCTATGTGTCTGGTCCCCGTGACGTACTTCCCTCTGCTGCCTATGTGACCAATCTCCCCGACCAACGCGTTGTAGAGGTTGTACAGCAGACTCCGCCACTTGGACCAGTCCTCAGCATGTGCACCTGCAGTATGAGTGAGAGCAGCCACCAGTTATTGGTTATTTATTTAAGGATATTCAAATATTTATGTTCATGACGTTTAAATAATTACTGCCAACAAATGAATGCAAACCTTGAGTTCAGCCACAGCTTTGCAAAAGTTTAGATTTTTGATGTTTTCACCAGTGAAATTTGAAAGATGCACTGCGATCAAATTAAATTAAACTTTTTTACTTACCTACTGGTTTCTATCTAACATTCACACACACACACTCACACACCAATGAATGCATCAGCCTGGAATGCATCGGGAACAACCCGAGATTCAGTATCTTGCCCAGAAAGAAGGTTGGAAGTGGAAGCAGACAGGGATCCAACAACCAACCTTCCAGTCCGCTCTACCTCCTTAACCCCCCAAATGCAAACTGAGCATCAGAATGAGGAAGAAAGCTGATTTAATTACTTTGAATGTACCATGCTTGTTGTTGCAAGACATGCTGGTCTGAGTGTTTCAGAAACTGCTGATCTGCTGGGATTTTCCTACATAACCATGCCTGCAGTTTACAGAAAATGATCCAAAAAAGAGGAAATGTCCAGCGAGTGACAGTGGTCTAAGCGAAAATGCTTTTGTGATGTCAGAGATTAGAGGAGAAAGGTTATATTGCTGTAAGAGATAGGAAACTCAAATATGCCCTTCTTAAAACAAAGTAGTTGGATGGTCTTAATCAAGGTGAAGAAGAGCATCTCAAAATGTGCAAGACATCAAACCTTAAAGCAGATGGGCTACGGCAGCAGAAGACGAACCAGAAAGGAAGGTGTACCTAACAAAGTGTTTGGTGAGTGTAGATCCCGCGATAAAGCCTGGCCTCCGACCACTATTAACCACAAACGCTGGAAACCAACATTTAAAATGAAGTTTTAAAAAGAAGAACCTGTATCCTGTGTCTTGGCTCCTTTGGGGTGGTGAACACAAATCTGTAGGTTGAAGAACTCCACAATCTCCTCTTTGAGAGCTGGACTGGGCCTCATGTCTGCCCAGACATACAGTATGGAAGGCAGAAGCTCCTCTCCCAGTCGACACAGCCTCATCCTACAATTCATGGCTGCAGATCTCAAGAAGATGTTCAGAGCTGAGACGAGGTGCTCCAAAACAGCCAAGTGTTTCTCCTGCCTGATACGATTGATACAAAGAATGCATAGTGTTTAAATTTAGCGACTAATACCGGAACATTTATTCAACATAAATCTAAAACAGTGTTAAAAGTCTTCACCTGACATTAAGCAGTGCTTTGGAGAAAAAGCTGAACAGCGTGTCATTGAATCCATCGGTCTGCATGCAGCAGCCCTGCACCACCGTGTGGATCACTCTGCTCACCAAAACGTGGTTGATGGGTCTGGACGAGGAGTTGAACAAACCACAGTACAAGTCCAAAAGATCTAAGGATCAAGAATAAACACAGATCCATCAGTTCTTACTCTTGTCTGCTTCCTGATGTTTAGAAAATAAAACTCCAAATAGCCCACTGACTTTGCCACTGCTGTGGAGCGATGTCACACCAGTACTTGCGGACAGAGAGGATGTCCTTTACAAGGAGGCTGCTGTAATCTTCTCCATAGGCTGAACAGCAGTACGAACTCTGCAGAACCTCCAGCACATGTTTCAGCAGCTCACTGCACTTCAGACGAGGCCCGCCTGGAGGAAGAAGAGGACACTCTTAACTGCAGTCCCCACAGTTCATTCAATATGTTTTCTACTGTGTCTGATGAATTAATGAAAGATACTTATAAATATAAAGATATATGAATGTTCCCTAATTTATTACGACATACATTCACCCAAAACTGAAACAGATTGCAACCTGCTCCTGCTCTTACGTTTGTTAGCGCAGCGAATGAAGTATTTGATCAGGCTGCATATTTCAGCCATCTTCTTCTGCCGCGTGGCCAGCGTGGTTGCTGTGACGTTGGATTTGCTTGATTGCATGCTTTCCGTCTCCTTTTGGACATAGCGCTGCAGAAACCTGATGCAATAAAATGCCAAGCAGAATAAAGAGCGTTCATTTATAGAAGCCACTTGTTCCGGTACATGTTAGCTAAAATCATTTATGAGTTACGAGCATGTTGCAGAATATGAAATAAGAACAAATACTTATTTAAGAACTTTTCAAAAGATGCAAAAAGGTAGAAAATAGTACCTTCTCTGGAAACACCTTATAGATATATACATTTGGTATTTATATGGTTGCAAATACTCTGAGGCAGGTTACCTGAAAACAGCATCCCATGTGAGTTGCTTGGAGGCTTTTGCTTTAGCTGATGAGTTACGATCCAGTTCCTGCACAATCTCTGGAGACCGGAGGAGCCGTCTGAAGCGCTCAGCTTCTTTCTGATAATAAAAACGAGATGAAATAAAAAGCATTTACACCGCACTGATTAAAACTATTTCAGGTTTAGTTAATTATGGATAATTCCCCACAAAATTCACTTCAAAGCTCTTTATACTGTAAGTTAAAGACCCAACGGTATTGGAGAAAACCCCAACAATCAAGCGACCCAATACGAGCAGGCACTTAGCGATAAGAAAACCCCCCATTTTAACAGGAAGAACCAGGATTTAAAATTCTGTTCAATAAATACATATAATGTGTCACAACTGAGAACTTGAGGGGCTATACAGACTATCAACATACCAAGATGACTGGCAGATCTTATTTTGTTTTTGTTGCTACTTGTGCCAGGAAAGTAAATAAACCTTTATTTTAAAAAATAACTGATTTTAGAGTCTTTCAGCTATTCATCGCACTGCCTTTGTACACTTATAAAGTGCAAAATTGATGTCGTGCAAGCCACAGGCAAATTGTATCTTATTTGCAAGTGGGCAGGACAGATGCTGATGCTCAGCAGATGTATACGCAGTGCAATCTGAGCTTCTGACTGAGTTCAATACTGTAGGGTAAGAAGAGCCGTGATTTGAAGGTAGTAACTAAAAGAAGTGAATTAAAGGATAACTGTGGTAGTTACTGGTGTTGGGCTGCTTTGCCATGATAACTGGACAACAGTGTTAGTTAGCATCCTGTTATTTTAAAATATGCTAAATAGGGAGTTGTTTAACCTATTTAAAGTGCATTGAATCGCCTATGAATTCATTTATTTGGACAACTGATAGGCAGTAGTTCGTCTTTTTCACCTTCCTCTCTGTAGCTTTGTCATTCTCGAGTGCTCTGCAGCAGGCCAGGAGATCATGAAGAGCCAGGCTCATTGTGCCTCACCGTATGTACACACTGGAGGGACATGATGTTGACAAAAGTTATTCATCTGCTTTATGCCTACACTATTATTACTTAGTAGACAGTGTAGATTTCTACTATTCGACCCACACTTTATTCACTGCTCATGCAAACTACTTTAGCAACACGACACTGGCAGATTAAGCTTTTAACTTCATTCACAAACGTCCATTCAAACACCTGCACTGTTCACTGACCTCAGATGACTGCAGCGATTGCAGTTACGGAGTTGTCACACGCGCAGGTGCAGATGTTAGCTGAGGTAAGGCATACCGCTACTGTACCTGCCATAACAACTTTGCCATCTTGTAGAGCCACACGCACGCACGCACACGTAACCCACGCATAAAATATTCCCGCCCCAGCAGCAAGGCTCAGCCCCTCACATCACTTCCTTCTCATGCCAGGTATTGAGTGAGTCCATTCACTTTTCTATCAGCATGAAAATAAACCTAATGTTTTTAATAGGTATGGTGTTATTGAAGTGGTATACGATCTGCTGAAGTCACGTTCAACCTATAAATTCAAGTATATATATGTAAAAAACTATAGAATGTTATCCAGATTGATTTTTTTCTATTTGGACTACAACTACCACAATTCTAATCAATAGCTTGATCTTGGTACTTCCGGGTTATACGTGCTTGAGTTCCCCGCCTTTTGAGTATAGAAGCAGTATTGTGAAGACGTCGCCTTCACAATAATATCACTGACGTGGTTTCATTTCAGTCAGTTTTTGAGCTTCTCGGAGACTTTTTCTGAACATGGAGTTTCCTGTTCACATTTGAGGCCGCTTTCACCAACAATTAGTCGGTCATGTTGCTACCGTCTGACGTCGCTCGGCTTGTTTTGGGTAAGTCTGGTCGTCCATAGCAGACGAGTAGCTGTGGGGTTAGCCAGCAATGACAGTCGAGTGTAAATGGGTGGCTTTAGCCTCACAGCCTTAACGGTTGATTGGGCTGCAGTTGGAGGGTAACTGTTACTGCTGACTGAGGTGCTACTAATGTCCTTCCGCTAGGGTACCTCCAAGAAGAGGGACTGTCAGCTACAAGCCAAGCTTTCATTCACGAGAGCCCCAACCTGAAAGAGTATGCCGAGCACACCACAGGAGATGGGACTATTCCTGCTTGCGTTTTTGTAAGTGTGCCTTCCTCCCTCTTGTAAGCCGCCTCCACAGCCTGTCATGATTACAGCTGACTGCATTTATGTTTAATCTTTCCTCACACAGTCCATCTTTGGGAAGAGCCTGACAACCATTTTAAATGAGTATGTAGCTGCTAAAACAAAAGGTAAGCCATTCAGAGGATCTCTTTAGTGTTTTATGACCGATTATTGTTCATATGTCATGGTTTGTTGCTGATGATTAGTCATATTTTCAACAGAGTCTTGTCATGAGGTTCCCGTCATGATGACTTCATTGTGGAAAAAGCTGGATTTTACACTCAACCAGATTAAGTAATGAACTTCACTAATAATTGTGTGATAGCATAGGATGCATGGGGCTGATTTTGAAAAATGATTTCTTATTGTTTTCTATTGTTGATTGGTATGTTGTTGTGAGATGAAAGATAAACATCTGCTGCTGTGTTTCTGAATGCTAAAACTTGGTGAAGTGAATCAATATGTGAATATTTTTCTGCATCTTTCCTTAGGTCATTGCAGAATTCCCCTGCTATATCAGCATGTCAGAGAAGTAAGTTTGTCAGGTTGTTTGTTTTGATGTAATGGGCTAATACATGGTGATGTAGCTGAAAGCATCAGGTTTAATGCATTGATGCATTTATGTAGAAATATACCTATAACGTAGGAACAGAAACTGTTTGAAAAGGGACTTCCTTAATCATGAGCTTATTGTGATTATAGTTGCCTGTTCCTAAAACCCCAGCATGTTACCCAAATAACTTCTGAATAAAAACATTGTCTATACATCAAATTGGGAAATTGGCACCATGATTACTTACAGTTGTCAAACAGTGCCTCAGCATTCAGGTTTTATATGTAACCTATTTACTTATCAGCCTCTGTGTGTTGCAGCACGTTCACGTGTTGGATTGGCAAACATGGCTAGACAGCAGGTCCTTGCCGTGGCTTCTGCGGGTGCTGTTGTCTGTTCATCGGTTTCTGAGACAAGCACCATCATCAGCCCAGCGCACACCTCCCACAGCATGCTTGCCCACTCCACCCCAGTGTGCTACAGTGGTCCGAACAGCAGACCAGCTTCTGGCAGTGGCACAATCCAGCATATTCATGACAGCAGCCGATTAATGACTACACCCAGTCAGTAATATAACACACAACTGAGTACAAATGCTAAAGTAAAGTAATGCTAAGATCACAGCTTTTTTAATAATAAATATTCAAACTTATTCGTTACAGGGGATTCACCCATGCAGATCATTGTTTCAGAGCAACGGCTAAATCCAGGCCCAATGTCTCCTGGTCGAAGGAAATGGTATGAATAGTTGTTAATGCTTTACTATAGGTGTTATTACATAAACATCTGTCCAGAGTGCTAAAGACAGACTAATCTAAAGTGGATGGAAAAATTAGCTTTCGTTGTACATAAATTGTGCATGGACATTGCTGTTATAATGACTTTACAGTATCACTGAATAAACCTTTCGCATTGCAGAAAATGTGACTAATGATTGCAGAAACAACAAACATGTATTTGGTGTGTTGCATAATCCAGAATGTTAGTGATTCAGTAGCTTTTCTTGCTAAGGGTTTGTCAAACTTCACAGGGTGTTTACTGTAAAATGACAGTTGTGATCTTGAGCACGAAAAAAATGCATCAGGTAGGGATTGTGAGCAAGTTTGATTCATTTCTGACCAATCTAGGAGTAGTGATCCTTCTGAACTGTGGATGGAGAGGACATCAGATGCCATGTCATAAGCTAATTGGTCCTTTGGCTGGTTGAGCTAAAAAAAAAAAAATGCTGATTGTAGTTAATTTCACATGACATTAATCAGTCACAAGGCTGTGTCACTGCTTATTCTAAATGACTCAATATCAGTATGTTGTTCCTTAATCTGCGCACACACCGAAAGCAATCCTCAGTGATATAGCCATAATCAGAAACCATAGAAAGTGATATTTGGCGACTTCAAGGGACTTCGACGAAAAGAACATGCTGGTGACGCAAAGTCAGCCTGGAATATTGTCTGTGCTGGGTCACCCCAACTTCATTGATTAATTTGATCTTCAGCATGTGATATTTTTGTTTGACTTTATTGTGCTGTTATTGTTATTCCCATGGTTTGTTTAAAATGTTTTTCTGTTGTCTTCAGGGACACCCCAAGGAAGAGAAGTGGTGCTCCGAGTGGCTCCAGTGCCCCTAGCAGATCTGCTACAGCTGCTGGCAGCAGCAGTGCAGAACCCCAACCTGAAGAGGCTGTTGATGAAAACTTCCCTGTAAGTAAATGGCCTGGCCTGTATTTGTACAGCGCTTTACTCAGTCCCTAAGGACCCCAAAGCGCTTTACACTACATTCAGTCATCCACCCATTCACACACACATTCACACACTGGCGATGGCAAGCTATGTTGTAGCCACAGCTGCCCTGGGGCGCACTGACAGAGGCGAGGCTGCCGGACACTGGCGCCACCGGGCCCTCTGACCACCACCGGGCCCTCTGACCACCACCAGTATGTCAGTAATGCTAGGTTTCCTAATCGCAGAGAAAAGTTAAAGACTACACTTCAATCACATATTAACAAATCCACTGACATTGTTGTTTAAAACCTTGTTGATCTGCTGAATGGTCATATATCAGTCTGTGTCTCTAGATACAAAGAAAAATTACTTTATTGCATCAGAAATGACATACTCTCTGTTTCATCTCACTCTTTACAGCAGCTTGTGATACAAAACGCACGTGACAAGATACTGGGTGACAGGTCCTTACAAGAGAAACTTGCTGAAAACATCAACAAAATCCTTGCAAAGTAAGTAACACGATAGGACTCTTCATTTTGTTTGCACTTGGATGTATTGTGCATAGTTTTTGATAATGATTGTGCTGTTTCCTACTCTGTTTCATCACTACTATCAGTGAGCCAATGCCCCAAACATCAAAGGGTTCTTCAAGTACAGTGGAAACAGACCAGTCTATAGATGAAATACTAGGATTACAGGTGATTTTTTTTCTTAACATTTTGCTTGTAATGTTTTCACTTTTTTGTGTAATTTATTATTATTTACTCACGTATACAGGGGGAAATTCATATGAGTGACGACGCCATCCATGACATTTTGGAGCAAACTGAGTCCGACCCAGCTTTTCAGGCTCTCTTTGACCTCTTTGACTGCAGTAACTATGACCTCATTTACTTTAATGTGTTTTCCTTTAAATAATGGTTCGCAAATGTCTGTAACAGTTTAACTAAAGAACTTTTTGTAAGACTTTTTATAAATTGATGTTTGCAGATAAAACTAAATTTGCAGATGGAGAAGCAGGAGATGGCGATACGAGCAGTAGTCCAGAAGAGACCGACACTGCTGGAACTACATCTGCAATCAGACTCCTTCAAAATATTGATACAGGTAGTCTGTCATAATCTAAACGTCGAAAAGGCAGCATAAATGTCTACAGAAAGTCTGGAAGGGGCTTAGAGGTGTAAGGCTGTAGCTTCTTGAGCTTCTAACAGTTGGTAAACTTTGTAAACAAAGTCAAAAATTGAAAAGTACCTATAATTATTCCTAATTTAAGAACTGAAATGAACTGCAGGAAAATACTAGCCATGACGAAGAGGTGGAGTGCACTTTCAGATAGTCTCTCCTGCAAGACATTCATGGTGTTGTTCACAGTAGTGTTGAGAACTGTGGGGAAAAAGAGAGTGGTTGACAGCTGGTTACAGGAACATCCCTGCCACTTGGACTTCATAAAACCTGGAAGCATCAGTTGTGAAATTATAATAAAAATCCAAACATTTTTCCAAGTTTAAATAACTTTCTATGAGAGGTCAAGCAGGTTATCATTTCTGCTAACAATAGAGACAAATGAATAGTTGAACTCTGTTTCTATTTTCAGGTGCCACACACAGTGATTCAGCTGCTTCAGATACAACACCAATGACGGTGAAGATGAAACCTGGGCAAGAGCGAAAGACAAGAAAGTCCGCTCCTCCAACACTGTTAAAGAAAACAGTTCTTGGTCCCAGTGGCAGATCATCCAGGATTGAAAACAGTTCAGCCAGACTGATAGTGAGTCAAGGGGATCCCCGAGGTGTCTCAAGTGCTCCAAGAAACTCAAACAGAAAAGAAAAAGATGCACTTTTCACTAACACTGTCAATGAAACACCAATGGATATTGATGAACCACTGAATACACCTCCCCCTCCTCCTTTGGACAGTTTGGCCACTCAGGAGCCTCCCGCAAAGGACAGCACTTCTATCGCGCCTGTCTTTGGTGAATCTTCCACAGATCCCTCGCCAGTGGACTCTTGTGCTTTTCCTGAGCCAGAGGAAACATCGGCCTCAAATATGAACAACCAAAAAGAACCTAAACAATCACAAGAGTTTAAAGATCAACCTGGTGCACCCGGAGCATCATCTTTGCCTCCCGAACAAGCTCAGCTGAACATCACTCCAGCGCCCGCCGCTGACCTACCTCAAATATTACTCTCAAACAGTGGAGGAGATACTCTACCAGTGTCTACTTTCTCAGTAATATCAAAATCTGTCTTAAAAACATCCTCTTCTACAGATACTACAGCTTCAGCAGCCTCACCCTCATCTGCTTTTATTGCTGCCCCATCTACGGCAACACCTGCCGCACCAACGTCTGCTTCTACCTCTGCAAGTCCAAGAGCTGCACATGCCTCACCCGCATCCTCGTCCTCCTCCTGTGCCCCCGTTGCCCCTCCTCCTGCAGCTTCAGTTGCAACAACAGCTGATCTGTTAACCACAAGCATCCCAAACACGGCTGCAACAGACTCCAGTAATGTCATGTCTTTGAAAATAATCATAAGTGATAACCAGGATGAAGGTTCTTCCAGCGACACAGCCTTAAACCAGGCAATTTCCAGCATTTCTGGAGACAAGATTCCCACCATTTACGTTTCCTCCCCAGCTAAGCCGGTGGGATGCCCTGAAACTCCAAAGGCCAACATGGATGAGGTGGCGCAGGCAGTTAGTGGATTACAAAGTTCTGAGGCATTTGCTAGTCCTCTGAGCAGCAAGGCTGGAGCAGTAACTGCATCTCCACTAACTGGAACGTCACAGGCCCAGCAGAGCTATATAATTCAACTACCCCTGGATGCAACTAACCCTGCCCTCCAAGGAGCCAGCTATTTCCTTGTAACAGAGCCCCCATCTACCGAAGCTGAAGGCAGACAGGTGGTGCTGCCTGCTGGTGTCTCAAACGGACAGTCTTTACCCACAAATCAATATGCGGTGACAACACCAACTCGCTCTACAAGTTACTCCACTGGTAAGAGACAGAAGGCTGCAAAACTGAGTCATCCCACAAACATTACATCTATAAGTGAATGTAAGGTAGTAAGCAATGTGCAGTGTGTATAACAACATACTTTTCCACATTATTGCACTGATTACAGTCCAAAATATTGAAAGTAAAGTTCTTTTGGCAAAAGATTGTAGGGACACTGTGGTTAAGCTATTTATTTATTTATTTTTGAGTTATCAGTGGCAACAAGGCATGTCCCCATGTTTAATCTTTTTCCTTCACTTTCAATAACTTTCTCAGTATCATAATTATCAAACTATGACATCTGTGCTCCTGTTTGAAGGGTCAGCACTCGTCCTGCCATCACCCGTGAAGCCCATGATGCTTCCTGTTTCTGTTGTAGGACCGAATCCTGTGGGGAAAGTGCAGATGGTGTCCAATCAAGTAAGATCATTTTATTGTTAGTCGGAGCATGTGGTTTGCAGTTAAAAGCATTTCCTTTCTTACCATTTTAACCAGAATGATGGAGTGAGAAAAGCTTTATTTCTTTATTAAATGAGACACTTTCAGACCAAATTGGCTGCTAAGTAAACAAAACTGTCCAACTGTCCAAACTTTGCCACTCTCAGGTCAATGTGTTAACTTTATCTTGTGTGCAATGCAAACTAGTAAATAAAATGTATTATACATTGTATTTCAAAGGATAAACATACTCTTTAACCTTTACATACTGTTCATATTCTATGCTAGTATGGCTTGGGTCAGTTTTGACCCAGTCAAGTTTCTGTTCAATTTTGAATTGAAGATCTGTTTGATTATTGTTTATCCAAGACTTTCTGTAAGTAAGACATTCTGCTTCTACAAGGAGTCCCAGTTCACTTCACATGTAAACCACATTAACCCATTCATTGTTACATTTACAGCTTGTTGCCATACAGAATCCTGTATCAGTAGAGCAGACAGAAACTGTCCCGTCCAAAACTCCCACCGTCGCAAGCAAACAACCTGTAGCTGCTGGTAAGTTAAAGGTTAACCTGCTTCTCCATGGTGAAGATGTATACTGGCTAAAAATTATATGGTATCCTTTTTTGAATGCATCTTTGCTCAGCATAATGTTTTAATTTCACGGCCTCATTTCTAAATTCCAGGCACTGAGAAAATTCTGGGCAGTAAAGAGGTTCAACCTGTATCAGCTGGAAACACAGACCAGCAGGATGCAGAAAAAGGTGCCAGTCACAGGAGAATTTTATGTTTTGACTCTTCTGCAGACATTCAACCACAAACTGCTAAAACAACTACAACCAGCACAGCCATGACTGCAACTACATCCCCATCACCATCTATCCAGCAGACTGAGAAAACTAATACAGAGTCGGTTGTTCGAATAAGACCTACTATCCTGGGTGGCAACAAACCCAAGAGGAGGGTAGAAACTGTCAGATGTTTAGCAAGTCCGCAGGCTGGAGTAAGCTTAGTGAAGGAGCCCTTTTCTTTACAACAGTACCAGAAAGATTCTGCTAAAAAGAGCTCTCGCAAGCAGGATCATAACACCCACAAGCAGGAGTCTCAAAGTGCCAGTACCAGCAGTGCTGATGCTTCAAAGGTTGAGGCTGGAAAAAAGTCAGAATCAGAAAAAAGATCAAAATCTGTTGAGAGGAAATGCAGTCAGGATGCACATAAAGATAACTCAAAACCTAAGGATTCGTATAACTCCAAGTCAGAGTCTGATTCTGCACTAAAATCAGGAAGTAGGAAGGACAAAGAGGAAAGCAGCAGGAAAGAATCTGCAGAGAAGGTGCCTTTGAAACCACGTGAGGGACGTACAGAAAAGAAGACTTCCTCTCAGGAAATGCCAAATGTCACAGCTAACAAAGAGAATGAAATGAAGGGTAGCATGCAAGACCAACAACCTTCATCCTCAGCATCAAGAAACTTGAGCCCTCCAGCTGTCCCTCAGCCAGCATCTCAGAGTCAGTCCAAAGTTACAAAAACACCATCTAAAACCAGTTCTCTGGCTAAACAGGCAGCTGAGATGCTTCAGGACATTCAAGGGCTCAAATCTCCCGCGAATCCAGTCAAAGGGCTTGGTGCAAGCAGTTCAGACCTTCCTGGAAGTGGCAGTAAGCAGGAAGCACCTGCTGATTGTCCCAGGACTCCTCGACAGAAGGGAAAGGTTAAAGACGGAGAGGGTACTCCAAAGCATCTAATGCCTCCCAACACCCCAGATGTACCTGGCTGCAGCCCTGCCAGTGAAGCCGGCAGTGAAAGCAGCATTAACATGGCTGCTCACACACTTATGATTCTTTCACGTGCTGCCATCGCCAGGACAGGCAGTCCACTGAAGGACAGTTTGCGTCAGGAGGGGATAGGAGAAAACTCTCCTACTAGCTCGAAGAACTCAAAGAAACGCAAGCAACCTATTTCAGCATCAAGCCCCCCTCCAAAGAAAGAATCAAAACGATCTCCCACCAAAAAGAAAGACCGAGTAAGTACAGCAGCATGGTTTTTGTCCAGTCTTTTTTTCCTCTTTATTTTGTATTCAACTCTTTTGTGTTTTGTTGTGTAGTGATTATCAAAGGTGTGTGGACACCAGATGAACTTCCATTGCGTATCAGTCCTTTTTACGTGTTTATTATTTATTTATGGAACCTAATCTAATTTACTAAATAAAGTACACTTTGTTATTATGCCCAAGTACTTCATAGTCTCTTCAAAATATGCATATTTGGTACAATATACACTTGCAGTATGATGAAGGTGGAATGAGGTGCTTGGGCAAATACACAGCCAGTTAACTGGGTCCTAACACCCTGGCATCCTGTGCGATTGCCGGTCTTGCTTGTTGGTAAGCTATGTGACTGTTTTGAAAGCGTGACAAGTTTCTTGCCAAATATGAGGACCACTCAAAGAATCTTGACACTGCACATCTTTGGATCATCCAGCCTTAAACTTGCCAAGTGTAAAGTAGATGTTGAGTTGTTAAGAAAAGCAAAGCAAGTAAAGACAAACACATACACACGAAGGCAGATGTTTGATACCTAGTTCTGTCATAAAACTCTTATTTATTGCTTTCATTTTATTTGCAGGAAAGAAAGAAAATTATAGATTATTTCCCTGAAGACTTGGATGTGGATAAGTTCCTGTCTTCACTTCACTATGATGAATGAAACCGGACACGCCAGCAGGAAAGGACTGTCGTAACTTGTGTTACAATCCAGAAATAGAACAAGCCCTCTGATAACACAGTACATCTGGTTCCTGTTAATAACTTTGCCTGAGACATTAAAGTTGAAATGGATTTTTCAAAAAGTGTGGGAATTTTGGCAAACCCCCTTCCCTCCAGTGAAGGTGACATATCTCATGATCATGTTGCAACAGTAGCAAAGCAACCATTGCACTTTTGATTTTTTACACTTTTTACTCAGTAATGAACATGAGGACATTGATTTACACTCTGACTTATGTTGTGGAACAGTTTTGATTTTGGGCACTTTGGCAGAGTGGGTGTGTGTTGTTAATGGTCGACTCAAAGAATTGCCTTGGTCAATATTTGACTCCTTTGATAAATACTGGCCTATTTGACACCTGACAGGTCTGTATCTAAAATTACACTTTGGAATATGTTTCTAGCAGACATTTTTAAAAACACTGAATTATAGCTCCTGTTTTTGAGTTGAGAAACATTTTGTTATTTGAAAAATAAAAAAACTAGTGTAAATGTTCGTTTTAGTAGCATAAACATGTATATTACCTTTTTTCAGAATCAGATGCTTTGTTGAAGCTGTTCACATTTGTATACTTGGCTTCATTTTAATAAAACAAAGAAAATCATGCTTGTTCTTTTGTCTACATTTAAAGCCATACTTACTAAGTCCCTATAAAGACTAAAAGAACACGTGGTTTTTTTTGTTCAGTGTGAATGTTGTGTGAAGGCTGGGACAACACCACAGGATGATTAAGGAAATCTGGAGCTCTAGAAAGTATAAGGTTTGTCAGTGTTGTCCTTTGATGGCTGAAAATGTTGAGGAAATCCTTCAAGGATGCTTGTGTCACATTTGAACTCTGATCTTCATAACCTCAGGCAGCCAGACTGATTTGTAGATTCTACTGGTGCCAGTGACGTTTAGGTGTACCGCGTGACTCAAGGTACATGCTAACCTATTGACCTTTCAGGCTTTGTCAGTGCTTAAAACTTTCAAAGACCATAGAAGTGTCACATATATGCGATAACATTAATATAGACCTGCAGGTTTATAGTGATAGTATAACAGTTACCACCTCCAACCCCTGTTTCGGCAAATCTGGCAACCTCCCATTGGACTGCTCCTCACAAGGAACGGAAATGGACTTTTACATCTATTTCACAATAAAAGTATTCGCTTATGAAGTGAAGCATGTGATTTCATCGTAAGTTATTATAATACTGTCATTACACCATGAATCGCTCCCACATTTACTCAGTTAATTAATTACAACATAATGTAAACAAAAACTTTTTCTACAGCCTTTCCCCCCCAGTGGTGCACAGTAGTGCTGGTTTTACTTTGACAGTGCTTGCGTTTGTTTCCGGGTAAAGAGGACAGGAACAAGGTACAGATGTCATGTAATTTTAACAAACATTCCCCTGTTTCTCTCCTGTGTAACGTGTGTCTTTTCTCATTACTACAACAGTATAGCGGCAACAAGTTGTTTTAGACGTTTCTCGGTGAGTAAGGGAACTCGTTATTGAGTTTAAACGCCTGATTTTGAGGTACAGACGTCACTAGCTCGGTCGTTAGTATTTTGGCTAGCCGGTTAGCATGTGGAGGGTTATGCACGTATTTAGCACCATGTCTACTTACAGACTGACCTACGGAAAGACGACAGCTCACGTCAGCTGTAGCCTTCGCTCTCGTAAAGCAGTCTGTAATAGTTTCACAGTCGCCTCGTTGCTTTCTGTGTTATATCTCTGTCTTTGAATTTGAATGTCAGCTAACCGGCGTGTGAACGAAAGGTTCGCACTAACTGATAGTTTATTGGTTGACAGCTGCTGATAAGGAGTTCCAGTTTCTACACAATCCCTGCTGTAATCTCTTAGCCGTTCAGAAACGGGGACACGGGAAACTCCAACTCCTACTTGTCGTGCTCCTCTCTCGTCCTAGACTGCCTGACCTGCCAGACGGTGATTGACATGGCAGCTAATGGAGCAAGCTGTGAGCAGCCTCAGAAACGCGCAGGAGCTAAAGACAAACTGAATGGGAAATCCGCAGGTAAACTCTATCAGTTGTATCTGTTGTGTAACCTTTGACACAGAACTGCACCTATCACCTTATGGCATTCATGCTTTATAAACACTCACACTGATTCACTATGGGTTATTTTCACTTTCCATAGGTGCAAACAAGTACATTACAGAGTACATGTATTATGCATTTAGCATTACCAATTCAAGAAGTGGCAATAAGTGTTGTGTCTGTAAGTATTACAGAGTGTCAAAGTGATTTTCTTTCGTTTTATTCTCCAGACTTGTCATTAAGAGAGAGGAGACAGAAGGATAAGGAAGAGCGCCTGTCTCTGGTGCTATGGAGGAGACCTGTTACCACTTTGCATTACTTTCTCCTGGAGACGCTCCTTAAGCTAAAGGAGTGGACGTTTAAGTAAGACATTAAAGGTTTTTCCTGGATTCTTTTCTTAAAATGAAGCTGTCTCCTGGTTGGACATACCCTGTGATTTAAGCTGCTGTATCAAAAAAAAAGTACTTATGCCCCAGAAGGTGGATTTGTGCATTTTATTGAGACCAGAGACACTTAAATTTAAGGGGGGAAAGAATGGAAGGGGATATGATTGTGTTTTCTTGCTTCCCGATTCAGGCTTTGGCAGCGGAGAGGCATAGTTTTCCTGTGTTTGGTGTTATGCTCTCTCTTTTCCATCGCATACTCAACTGAGGGAGAACACCAGCAAGTAAGCCTCGACTTGTTTTGCTTTCTTAGAGACGTTAAGAATCAGCTAATCAGTTATTTTGTCATCGGCAAGTTTAAAGGTTAACGATGAGTCACTTTTTATCCTGCTCGAGACTTTTCCAAGAATAAACTTTGCATTGTGAGATAATGCAGTGTGCACTGTTGTCAGGTAACCCTTGATCATGTAGTCATCTGTCTGAATGTTCTGTTTACAAATTCATCTGTGCAACGGTCTGTCACGGTTCAGTTAAAACACTACAGTCCTTCAGGGCTTCCTAGAACCAACTGAGAATGGTGTAATCATTTACCTAGAACAGCAGGTCAAACATAGGAAATGAGCAGGGGGAAAAAATAACCCAAGAATAAAGCAAATTTAAATATGTCAAAATCACAAATATTAATGTAAAATAAGGTAATGGGATCGAAAAACATATTGTTTTCATTGTAACTGTGCAGCAATAACTGTTAAGACAGAATTTCCCTGTAAACGGAGTGTAATGAATATTGGTCTAATGCTTTTTTAAATAAATAAACCAATGTAGTTATTAAACGCCTAGAAAAGATTAACTTTTTGTATCATTTATTGTAGAGGTGAGCAATGTGACACTTTTTAATTGTGTACAATCTGATTTGGGCACTTCATACAAAATACAAGGTATATGTTTTGCAAGAGCCAAATGAAGATTCTTTCTTATGTTTGCCTCATTTATGATTGTGGAGCCTTTCTCTTTGGCACATTTAAGTAAACCTTACCATCTTACTGGGAGTTTATGCATCAGTCGGACATTTATGGCATACGCACAATGTAACCTCAAACCACTCTGCAACTACTCTGAAAATCAGGCCTTAGACAGTAGCCACCCACTCTGTCCATCAGTCATTCCACATCAGCATCAGGAGAAGCGGCGATATGACTGATGGTGACTGACTTTTGTTTTCACTCTTTATAAACTTCACTCGATTATTTTTAAAGCTGACGTATAAATCATCAGTTATGGTCCAAATTTTCAGAATTCAATGGAAGCGAAAACAGGAAGTTGTGATTCAGGCCTTTTACACTTAAGTAACAGTGACTTCCTGTGTGTCCAGACAACACATGCAGACCTTATGTGATAACAGATATTCAGCTAATCCTGAAGGGAAGATTTTCACTCAACTTTTTAGATTTTACCTTGAAAGATCATCATCTGATCTTTTAGACACTGGTGACTACCCTGCCCTTCCCCTTGTCTGATTTATGTATATAGTTAATTTTCTTCAATTTTTTTTCCTTTGCAGTATGTTCAGTATCTGGAAAAGAAGTTCCTATGGTGTGCCTACTGGGTAGGCCTTGGGATCCTGTCTTCAGTGGGCCTTGGAACTGGTCTGCACACCTTCCTTCTCTACCTGGTAAGATAGCATCAGCCGTATGGAAATGCAGATGCAAAATACCTTTACTGAAGTAAAGGTAGATAACAGAGGCAATAACAATGACATGGTTTATATTTAGACTGAACAGGTTTTATATGCATAGACAACAGACTGTTTTAGGCGTGAAACAGTACTCACTGATATGAAACAAAGCGTGGCTACGCACCATTAAGAACAAAGTGTAGTCATAGTAGGAATTTTGAGAGCAGGGATAGTTGTGAGTAACTTGCAAACTGGCAAAAGCTTAAAAACATATATTGAAAAATATAAATTTAACATTTGCAAAAGGAGCAGGGAATACCTGTAAGCGAGAGTCATTCAGCTTTACCTGTCTGTACAGATCCTACTCCCTGTCGTTATTTTACAGTTCAGAATAAAGCTGCTTCTCCTTTGTCACACTATGGCAGGTAGCGCTACGTGTTTGATTTGAGTTTTACGCCAGATGCCCTTCTTCATGCTGGCATTGAACCAGTGACCTAAGTGAATGTGTAAACCACCAAACTGTGGGAAAAGATGTAACCATATTCCAAATTTGAAGAAATGTAATTTAATTCCACTTGTGTTAATCATTTCTGGTCTAGATTGAGTTAGCTGAGTTTTACTGAATATTGGCCTGACTAAAGGCTACAAAATGTAAAGAGAAATTGATTACCGACATTATCTGGTTGGTTATGCTCAGCATGGGTCAGAATATAATTTACCTTAACAGTTAGCGATTTTCTTACAAAAATGCTACATTTGGAGAATTCTGCAAAATCGCTGTCCGTTTGTTCCTGTACTCACCAGAGGATGGCGTCATAGTCCACACCGAGCCATGAGCCCTGTGTTTCTTCTAACGTCACACGTTTGTCACACGTCTGTCGAAGGCTTTGTGTGAGTGAAGTGTAATTTTCCCCTGACAGGCAGTCACAGAGTGACTGTCACACTGAGTCACCATGAACATGCGTCATTGGTCTTTGGTTGTGGCTAAAAGGAGAATTTAGCAAAATGAAAGAGAGGAAGAAATTCTCCACCAAAGTCCGCTTCAGGCTGATGATGTGGCTTCTGTGCTGCAGAACATGTGCCGATGTGGTTCAGCTGAGTCAGCCATTTCCATTATAATGAAATAATGGGAAAAGATGTAACTGTGACCTTCCCCTTTTTCTTCTTCTTTTTTTTTAAAGAAATGGTGTACACTCCCTCCATTAATTCTTTACAGCTGTCTAGTGCTCTGCTTCTTTACATACTGTGTGCAACAATAATGACGTAGCAGCAGTGGCTCGTGCCATATACTCTGTGTGGGGTTGTGTATTGTGCTTTTTTTTTGCAGTGAGAATATTAAACAGCTCTGGTTTTCATAATAACTTGTCCTTATGTACCAAAAGTCAAGTCATGAAACATTGTGTCTAGACCAAAAAAAAGGAATTCAGATTACTCTACCGCAGAGGAGTTGTTCCTCAAAAGATTGACTTCTTTTTTCTTTAATCACATTACAGTAGGGAT